GGGAGGCGAAGGAAAAAAACTCCCTGGACCAATTTCCGCTGGCTAACACGATTACCCGGCTGCCTGGCAGCCGCGCCAGCTGTTGGCAGGCATGCTGGCCCCCCGCCAGCCTCGCTCAGCTGCCGGCTGCCCCAAGGCTCCCTCCTGAGTGGGGTGGGTTGGCAGGTGTGAAAGCCCCACATGCCCCTTGGTTGGGGCTGCTGAGCACGGCATCCCAGGGATGCTGCAAGCCCCACTGGTACCTGCCGACACCCATTGCTCAGCCTATGCCACAGTCCAGGCTGTGTCCAGTGTCCTGCCATGATGAGTATGCCCTCTGAGTCCTTCCCAAGGGAGCCTTCTTCAGAGAGTAAAATCACAGAGAGCTGGCTCCACTAATTTATTTATTCATCCGCTCATTCATTCATTCATCCATTCATTCATTCATTCATTCACCCACTCAACAAATAGTCCCCGAGCATTCCCTTGGCAGCATGCGGTCCTCACATATTCAGAGACAAAAAAGGTGTCTGTGGTCTGTGTTGAGAAGGGGACAGACAAGGGACAGGGGCACACATACACAAGCAGGACAAGCCCAGCTGGGGGAGGACAGAGGCCATGGTGGTGGGAAGGGAGTTCTGAGAGTGGATCAGGCCCAGAGGCCTTAGGAGGAGCTTGCTGGTGTGGGACAGCCACAGTAGTCGTGACTCTGTTGTGGGAGTTTGAACTATTGTCCACACGAGGTGCCCAATTCCAGCAGGGCAAGGGCAGCGTGGGGCAGATGGCGGCTGAATAGTCAGGGCTGGGATGTGTTTGAGGAAAAAATTGATAGTGTCTGCTGATGGCTTGGGTGTGGGTGTATGGGATAAAATGGAGTCAAGGTGGAGGGAGATGTAATTTTGGGTTAAAAATGAAGTGTTCTGGGTTGGATAGGGCCGTTAGGAAGAGTAAGTAGAGGTGACAGATTGGCCTCCAGCTCTGGAGCTGTGCTCAGAGACTGGGGCTAGCATGAGGGAGCTGGAGGCAGAGCTGTATATAAAGCCCAGACCTGTGAAACCAGCCAAGGGGTGAGTAGTCAGGAGAGGAACGAGGGCCTGTGGACACCGTGGCCTCCGATGTTTGGAGAGGGAGTGGCCAAAAGAGGCCAGTTCTGGGAGGCCCGAGGTAAGCGTCTCCACACGGAAGAAGCCACCAGCACATCAGATGCTGTCCAGATCTTGGGGACCAGGGCATAGCTTTCTGGGCATCTTGATATGACTGTCTTGTGGAGTGGAAGGGACCTTGCAGCTCCAGAGAGGGCTGCAAGACACTAGCCAGAACCTTAGAGCAGATAGTTGAGTCTTCTCCCTCCCTCCCTCCCTCCCTCCCTCCCTCCCTCCCTCCCTCCCTCCCTCCCTCCCTGTCTCCCTTGCTCCTCCCTCCCTCTCTCCCTCATTTCTTCCTCCCACCTAACTCTTCCTTCCATCTATTTCCTTTTAAGCTCACTGATTTGTAGGGTTTTTTCCCCCAGCAAAATAAAGACGTCATCTCAGATGTCACTGGACCTCAGTGAATAAGAGTCTCACTGTGTAGCCCTGGCTGTCCTGGAACTCACTCTGTAGACCAGGCTGGCCTTGACCTCACAGAGATCTGTCTGTCTCTGCCTCCTGAGTGTTGGGATTAAAGGCGTGCACCCAGCGGAACTAATCTTAAGCAATGCTCCCATGGGGAATTAGATAGCAGTATATCAGCACGAGTATGTTTTTGGAGGGCACTTTGGCAACAAGTAGAAAAATTTAGAGTGTTTATATCCTTTGACTAACCCTTTGGAACTTGCCTAGAGAAATGCTTACATATGCCTACAAGGAAGCAGGATTCCCCCCAACACCCACCACCCAGTAAGTAATGTTTGAAATAAAAAGTTGGATTCCTTCAAGCATACATCCTTGGGGTTCCTGGTCATCTGTTGAGAGTGTGCCCCCTTGTGGAGGAGCACAGTGTAGCATGTGTGGCACTCCCAGACTCCTTAGCAGTGTCTGCTGGCTCTCTAACCAGAAGCCCTTGGGGAGCACAGGGACCATTCAGCACCCTAGTATCCTCCAGAGCAGTAGTTCTCAACCTTCCTGATGATGCAACCCTTTAATACAGCTGCTCATGTTATGGTGACCCCCAGCCACAAAATTATTTCCTTGCTACTTTATAACTATGATTTTGCTACTGTTCTGGATTATAATGTAAATATCTGGCAGGTGACATCCAAAGGGGTCACAGTGCATTGGTTTAGAACTGCTGCTCTAGAGAATAATGATCTGAGTGGCATCGTGTCAAAAGCATGCTGTGAAGACCGTCAGGGCTAACACGTGGTGCTCTCAGCCAGATCGGGTGCTGAGCGAAGACGAGCAAAACTTGATGCTCTGTAAGACATGGGAAGATCTATAATACATCGTGGAAGAACACAGGAGCTATGAACCTGAAAGCAGATCCTGTGTGTGCACCTCTCTATGGGCACACATGTACCCCAGAGTAGACCCCGTGTGTGCATCTCTATGGGTGCACGTGTACCCCAGAGTAGACCCTGTGTGTGCACCTCTCTATAGGTACACGTGTACCCCAGAGTAGACCCTGTGTGTGCACCTCTCTATGGTGCACGTGTACCCTAGAGTAGACCCTGTGTGTGCCTCTCTATGGGTGCACGTGTACCCCAGAG